TTTTTTTTTTTTTTTTTTTTTTTTTTTTTTTGCTATTTATTAACTGATTTAATTTTACATTATCATATTGGATAAGTGATATCATGGAAAATGACTGATAAAGAAAAATGGGGATGTTTTTTGAAAATATAATTTTAGTTTCTAAAATTTAGTTGCGCATTAACGATAGCGTGAAAATAACAGTATATTGACAGCAGTAACTACATCATAGCTGACATTTTTTTTTAATCGTTATCTGTTTTAGCAGAAGGAAGTTATGACGACAAAAAAACTGTTTACGTCTTTGCAAAACGAACTTTCATTTGTATCACGGAATAATTTTACCAAAGAGAATAAAGTAAGTTTTTGGGGAGTTTTTTTTTGCTTTTTTTTTTCAGTAAACTGCTAAAGTTTTGTCATGACATACATATTTTATTTTATTGCTTCACTAATCTTAAAAACTTTTTTTTGACTTCTTACTAATTTTTTCTAAATGAATGCCTGTTTGATGTAATACACCAGTATTTATTTTTTTTTTATTTGCACTAATTAAGCGACTTTAGGCGCTGGGAAACGATGCAAGGAATGAGTCGAAAGAAGAAAGAGTAGATTTAGAAGAACTTGAGAATTTTGCTCAAACGTTTAAGAAGCAGCGTATCAAGTTTGGTAAGTTTTTGTGTTTTTTGTTATTTTTTGATAAGATAGTTAGTTGACGTTTGGAACTGGTCATTCCGTTCTTCTTCCTGGAGAAAAAACGTAATAAATGTCGATGGTTATAAAGTGAACTTGTTTTTTACCAGACGTTTTGTAGGTTTCACTCAAGGTGATGTTGGTATGGCGCTTGGGCGTCGATATGGCACAGACTTTTCTCAAACAACAATTTCACGTTTTGAAGCACTAAATTTGTCTTTCAAAAATATGTGCAAATTGAGGCCGTTGCTCAAAGAATGGTTGGCTGATGCTGAGGCAGCGATTGCTAGTGGAGCATCAGTTAGTGATCTACTGGAAGCACCGTCAAAGAATTCTTCAACGCAGGTCTGTTACGGGCTTTTCGAGTCAAATAAATTTTCAAGAATACCTTATATTGACGGGATAGTCTCCTTACCGGATCAGCGTTTGTGTTGTGAAGATTTTTCGTCAAATAGTCAACAAGGATATTTGGAATGTCGGAAGGGTTCTAATAGCAATACAACTCCTACTCCGTCTGCTGGGGTCTGCCGGTCGCTTGCTGGCAATAAAATACGTAAAAATGAGTTGGAATTTGAGAAAATAGAAACGTATACGACAAAATATCCTAACCATTCTTTGCCAAAAAATGACAGAAAGGCAGTCTGCTTAGCTGAAGCACTGTTTGCTATTCGAAAAGCTTTTCCTGACTTTAGCAGTTTTCCACTGCATGAAGACACGTTGTTGGAAACGTCTGATTGCTTAAAAAAAGTTAGGTTTTATGATTTAAACGATGTCGAAGGTCTTGAAGTAGAACGTAGGTTTATGGATCTTGATTTCAATATCTATGTTCCGCAGCCTCAGGATGATGATCTAAATGGTGTCAGTTGGACTAATTGTTGGTGGAATGGTACAGATCGGCCATCTGACGAAGAAATTGGAGTGGATGCCAGAACTTTTTGGAATTGTAATATATATAATGCAGCATATTTTAATACTGGTTACTCTTGGAACGGTATGGGAGAAATTTACGCCAACATTAAAGAGCCTACAGAAGTTAAGGATAGTGAGTGGAATTGGAGTGAGTGGAATGCAAGCTGGCAGGAGCCATAATGGTTGCGTTTTACATTTCCGACGTCTCAAAGGGATGTTTTCAAAGGGAAGATGGGCTAAACGAAAGATTCTGTGGTTTTTCTTCAATGCGAATCGACAAAGACTGGAAATTCTTCGGTCCGTTTAGCAGAGCCTTCATGTTGTTGACGTCATTGCATGCTCAGACTTTGTTTGATGTTTTAAAACTTTGTGGTTTTTCTACGTGTAATGGTAAACTGCGTCCTGCTAGCATATAGAAGTAACAACAGACAAAACTGCTGTTCCGTTTTTGCATGGCTCTGTGTTTTAAATCCATATTTCGCAGGTTTTGAAGGCACTGTTATCATTTTTCGGTGGAATGAATCAGACAGCTTGGTCTTTTTCTCACTGTCTGTCCTTGTCGAACGTTGGATCAATTTTTTTAGCTGCAGTTTCCCTGTTTTTTTTATTAGCTGTTAAATAACAAATGTAGATATCTTTGTTTTTGCGGGTTGTTTACCTGTTTGCCTACATTAAACCGTTTTTGAAAGAAATTTTAGAGGCTTTTGCTGTATTATAGTTGTTTTTAGTAAATAGTTGGCATGTATCGTTGTTGTTCGTGTGCACTGCAGTTTGTTATTTGCAAGTTCCTATTCGTTGTTGTATTGGGAACTCACTTTTTCAAAACATTTATTTCTTGGTTTTCTCGTAGTCAAAACTTTCGACGTAGGTTGGTAACAGAAGGTCAAATATACTGCTCAGTTGTTGAATGTTAAACGTTTTTCCTCATACGCTTTCTTGATGTGTGTACATTACGAAATTTACTTATTAGTACTGAATATCGCAGCATATTGCACGTTCTTATACACGCCCTTATAAAAACAAAATGATAGGTGCCGTTGTTGGGTGTGAGAATTGCAGAGGTTTTTTCAGTGGAGAGATGCATTGAAGACCATTTATTGGTATGACCTCTAGCATGAAACAAAGTCGTGATTTTGTTATGCTCAAAAAAAGGAGACAAGCAGTGATAGATTTAGTGTTTGAATGATACATTTGATTTGACTTTCAAGCATTTGGGTTTCTTGTTCTAGTAACTGTCTGAGCAGAGGGTACTGAGTGTCTATGCTGAATCTTTTATGGAGGAGTTTGTGACCAAGAATAACTGGAACTTTTTAACCGTTGAATAGGGAGATTCTTGTTTTTAGACGTTTACAATATCGTATTGTTCCTCCATGAATATTTAGTATTGGAAATTTTAGGTAAATGGAGATAACGGTGATTTAACAAGTGGAAAAGTTTTGGCAGGTTCACCATCTCCCAGTGGTGTGGCTTTAAATTCTGGTGTCATACCGCTAAGGAAACGTAGAAAACGTACAAATCTTGATGCAACACAGCGATCAGCACTAGACCAGTTTTTTAAGGTTAATCCACGTCCAGATCATGATAAAATGGCGCAAATTGCTGAAATGCTAGAACTTGATCGAGACGTAAGCTTACACCTTTTGTCAATTTTCTCTTTTTTTGAATTAAATAACTGGTAGCTCTATTACGAGTATTTTCGTTATTAATGTTACCATTATTATTGGCTTACGTACAAGTGTTCTTAAGTATATGGTAAATCCAGTATAGATTTAAAATTGTAAGCACACCTATTGATTGTTGCAGGTGATTCGTGTATGGTTTTGTAATCGTCGTCAAAAGGTACGCAAAGAATGAAGTAATTTATGCTGTCTGTCGGAAAACCGTGATGGTTATTGTGATTGTTAAATCTCAGAAGACCCTTCAAGCTTTGTAGTCACTGTTTCTATATATGTGTAAGTTTTTTTTGTAAGTAAGTAACTGGTAAACTACTTTGGGTTTACTTCTTACTTAAGCAAATGAACAATAACAGAAAAAAAATGATGTGATGAAGGGTTATTAGTTTATGATGGAAGTCATTATTACTATTATTAACTTTTATCTTTGTTTTGTTCGCTGTAATTTCTTTTTTTTGGCCTTATCTTATATTACCTGCCTCATCTGGCATTTTTAGCGTTGCATTTTTTTTTGTTTGGTTTTTTTCTTGAGAATAGTTATTTGCTGCTAGAAATATTTTGTATTAGTTATGCTTTTTGATTGATATTCAATAAGTCTTTGGCGGCCGAATATTTGTGTTGTTGTTGTTGTTGTGATGATGGTGATGGTGGTGATGATGATGATGATGATGATGATTGAAATAGGTGAAATCGTCGTTATCGCCATCATCATTATCATCATCGCCATCGTCATCATCATCATCATCATTATCATCATCTTTTGACTAGAATTTATTGATGGTAGCGGTGGGTATGGTTTTTTTTCTGTCGTTAACAGTTGGAAACTGCAGATTTGTTGTTTGTTGTTTGAGTTAACTGATAATATGAGCTAAAGAGACGAGAACAAAAAAAAAAAAACAAAAACAAAAAAAAAAAAAAAAAAAA